TACAGGTTCTAAAATCCCTCAAGTTAAAGAAGGAAAACTAAATTAAAATAAAACATCATCTAACCTCTACTGAACACACAATGACATTTGGGAGAAAATCTGATTGATCAACACAGAATATCATTCACAGGACCCAGCAGGCACAAAACTTAAGCAAAGTTAGGCAGTCACACTATTGTGTACATCTTGGTCTCCAGAAGTCCTAATTTTAATATCTTCATAGTACTATTTGGACACAACTTGCTAACAGAAGAGTGAATGAAGAGCTACCCAGACCAAAGAAAAGTCTCTCTTTAAGATAATCCCTGGCCCTACCCCACCACCAGCACCACCATATTTACTGACCAGAATCATTACTGTAGCGAACATTCATCGAAATTCTCATTAAAGGAGTTAGGAGGAAAGTGAACATTATTTTAATGAGCTAAATATAGCAGACGTCTCCACCGCCACCACCTTTGTATTTTCTCTCCTTGTTTGTACCAAGGGGCTTAATTGCAAGGCAGGGACATCCCCTAAGTCCCAGAAGCCGAAACTTTTCTTCAAGATTGAGTTTATGAATTCTTAAACCAGCACAAGGTTTTCCAAAGTTTCAAAGTTCCTTCTTGCTTTGAATTGTGGCTTCTTTTAACACTACTTGAATATCTGAGGTCTGTAAGTAAACGATAAAGTTTTGACAAACACCAATTTAAAAAAAAAGAGTCAATGTATTCAAAAAGGACATATCCTCAATTTATTTTTCTGTGGCTGGAAACAAAATAGCACAATTTTTGAGATCACAAGAAGAAATATCATTTTAATACTTGTACAGGCAAAGAAACACTGCCTGTCGTGAACTGGCATCTGTACTATTGTTATGTGTGCTAGAAAATGAACTATCTTTTATTGTTTTTTGGGCACCAACATTTCATGGTAGCCTTATTACAAGCCATCTTTATGTAAATAAAAGCAAAATATATTTAAACAAGGAGAAGGAAATATGCATGATTCACCAGCACAGTGAGTTACCTCAAGATTTTCCAGCCTCATAATCACAACTGATAGGAAGATTTATCGGCACAGCTGCTTGTGTTAAACTTCTTTTCCTTGCAGTTGAAGGAATCAAATTTCTTCTTGGAGATTAGTCATTTGTGGGGGTGTCGCCAACTGCAAAATGCTTCTGTTATGAATGAGGTGCACTTCTCCATTGCTGTCTTCTAGTCCTAAGTCAGTGAGTAATTTTCATCTCTTTATGTGTCTTTCCCGCCTACCATCAGGAACAAATTTTAATGACTTACACAGTCAAACTTTCTTTAGTTGTTACTCAAACCTAAAACTTCAGATTGTATTGTTTCTGGTAATGTGATAACCTCACAAGGAAAGGTAGAATGAAATGACATTTTGGCATATGTTCACAAGGATGAAATCTGAGCTGAAGGGTAGGTCTACCTGGGGCGTGAAAGCCGGAAGGGAACTACCACCATTTCTTGGGTGGCTATAAATAAATGTGCCAGGCACCGTGCTAGACACTATAGAAATGGAGCAATGCTGCAAGAGGTTAGCTGATATTCCCATTTCACATATGATGAAACTCACTTTGTCAAGATTGTGCAGTGGCTGAATCAGAATTTAGGCTTAGATCCAGTCGGCTCCCTTGCTTTCTTTCTGTATTGCAATATTCTGCCTTTTGAGTATGAAGAATTATCCAGTTACGTACAGCACTGATACAGCTATTTAGCATGGAGATCGTTGATGCTATGTCTAAATAAGAAAATCCACATGCCAAAAGAGACCTCAATGTGTCATCGGTTTCACTTCCTTCCTACAGATTGCAAGATAGACAGGTCTCTGTCTTTTCTTATATTAACATTTCTCAAAACATGCATTTCCAAATTTGCCTTGACCCTCTTCACAATTTCTGGTAGCCATTTCTTCATGCAATCTTTTTTATCTCATAAGATCTCCTCATCACTCTTTAAGCTCTTGTTTGGAATGATACGGGGATGGTAGGATATGCACCTAGTAAGTTTCTGCCAATTGAGGATAGAAATCAGAACTATTGAACAAAGAATGAGATTTCAGTAAATGCACCAATCACTTGGTTTATTGCATATTAATGTGGCTGGTGGTGTTTTTCCATTGAATTGACTTAG